TTTCAAGGGCTTTAAACGACACCAGACGATGAATAAGGGTCTTATCAAGCGAAACTCAAAAATAAATAAAAAAGTTTAGGTTTTATAAGCGCGAATGCTCGCCTTGTTCTGTTCTGTGATGCGCGTTCGTGACTCTCCTGTTCAAACTCATTCATCAAAATGAACAAATCTTTTTTCGAGTCATGACTCGAAGGGTCCTAGATAAGACCCTTATTCATCGTCTGGTGTCGTTTAAAGCCCTTTGAAGCTGCACTGAAACTCTCATTTGGATCTTGAACCGTTTGGTTCCCATTGAAGTCCATTATATGGAGAAAATCTTGGAATGTTTTCATCAAAAACCTTAATTTCTTTTCGACTGAAGATAGAATGACGTGGACATCTTGGATGACATGGGGGTGAGTAAATTATCAGCAAAAGTTTTTTTTAAAAAGTGAACTACTCCTTTAATACTTTAATTCAGCAAGGATGCATTAAATCGATAAAAAGTGACACTTATGACATTTATAATGTTTTTCAAATAAATGCTGTTATTTTGAACTTTATATTCATCCATGAAAAAATATTTATTAGAGTTGCAACAAAAATATTAAGCAGCACAACTGTTTTCAACATAATAATAATCAGAAATCAGCATATTAGAGTGATTTCTGAAGGATCATGTGACACTGAAGATTAATTCAGCTTTGCATCACAGGAGTGAATTACATTTATAAAATATATTAAAACAGAAAACAGCTATATTAAATTGTACTAATATTTGAAAATATTGACCATTCAGCATCTCACCAACCCCAAACTTTAAAAAGTGAATCTTTTGCTCGGCTATTCTAGAGTTTATTTTAGATCATATTGTAAGGCCAGAAAAACAAGCTGACAAGTTTATCACCCAACAAAATCTCACTACTACAGATGACTATCTACCTCAAGGAAGTGTGGTGACAGTGGTCTCTGCTGAATGAAAGCTGTCTCCAGTGATTTGCATGTGCAGTGAGATCAAATATGGAAGTCTGACCACACGTTGGAGTAAAATACTGTCTTCTTTTTGTCATCATGCGGTCTGGGTGCAGCTGCCAGCTGAACTACAGTAGCAGCTGTTGCTAGCTAAGTTTAGACACGTCACCTGTGTGACATAGGCTGAAAGCATATTTTGATATTATGGAATGCCATCAGACTCGCTTCCTCGTCGTTCCAAACTTGTATGACTTTCTTCTGTGGTACAGAAAAAAAATTAAAAAATGTTTTTTGTCCATATGATAAATGTCAGCTGGGTCAAACAATGTTTCCACAGCTCTGCACATTAAATATGTTTCCTTTATCTGACACACCAAGTTCTGTTCATAGAACTTTCTAGATCACTGATGATCTGAATCAGGAAATGAGGATTCCCTGTGTTAAATGGGGGAGACATAAACTGTGTGGGTCTCCAGGACCAGGATTGAGAACCACTGAATTAGACTTCAATTTTTTGGACACAGAGGACAACATTAGCAAACCGAGATTACAACATGTCACTTGAGTCACAGTTTCCTCAGGATTCCTTCTTTGTCCCTCCCTGCTGGTAGTCTCTGATAATGCACATTCCAGTCAAATCAATTTCCTGCCTGTCTAAGCACTTTTTTGTTCGGGGGTTTGCTTCCTGAGGTCAGCTGACTGACTGACATCCTGTTGACACCAGTACCAGCTGCTCAACCAGACTAATGGCGGTGTGTAATATCAATCTCTGTCAGGTTAATACAATAAAACGGTGACTCACGTTGATATTGTAGTTCTTACTCTTGAAACTTGGTGCTGAAAATATTATTGACTTATTAATGATGCTTTCTCATTTGCTGGATGAAGTGTAGGCTCTGCTAAATGACTAAATGTGAATGTGGTTATAGTTCAAATTCATAAAAAGTCAAAGTTTGTAAAATCTAGGCAAGGGTCTTCTGCATGTATACAAGGGCACAACTCCTCAAAACATTTATATTATATCTATTAATCTCATGAGCAAAAACAAGAATATTGAGAATATTCGTTATCAGATATCAAAATTGAACCTAAGTTGTGGTAATGATGGGGTCTCTAATTTTATTGCAATGTTTTTATTTGACTAAATTTAATGACAAAAATGTTCTTCATGTTCTAAATTTATTTTTTTTTTGGTGACCAAATGCAATTTAGTTTGATTACATCTTTTGCTCAGGGATTTTAGTCAAATGCGGTGGTGATGGTTTACAATGTTGGTCAAAAATATAAAATTGATAAATAAATTCAAACATGTTTTTCATTAACTCTTTCAAATATACATTTATATAAACGCCATGGGAGGCGTTATATATGACGCCATGGGACAAGGAAAAAATATTTATAGCCTATTTATTTAGAAAATTCCCCAAAAAATCTTCTTCCGTCGTATCAGTCATCATAGCTCATTGCTTTCTCCCAGCACTTTTTATTATCAATAATAATTATAAACACCATGTCCGCTGTGAGTAAATCAGTCGTCAATCTCTTCATGTTTATTTAGTCTGACACCTAGTGGTCAAAATAACAGAAAAAAAAGTTATCGAGTGACATTGTATGTTGCCAACACTTGTGAAGCTTAGAATCATTGTAAATACTTGTATTGAAGGAACTCAGCACAAGCAGGGGCGTAATTTGCGGGTGGGACGGGTGGGACATGTCCCCACCACTTTTTGCCAAGGTCGATATTGTCCCCACCACTTTTTAAAAGTTCTCGCTGAAATACGTTGATTTTTTTTTTTTTTAAATCAAGTGATCAAAGTGCTCCTTGCCGCCTGTGATCGGTGGCGCGGTTACAGTGTATCTCGTGGCTCACGCACAGTCTTCACATGCATGCGCGCTTCAATCCGTTTCGGAGACTGTTTCGGAGACTTTTTGTTCGTTCCGGTGCAGAGAATGTGAGCGGAGTGGAGCGGGAGCGAGCGGGCGGATCTTGGACAGAGCGGAGAGGGGCATTTTTTAAAGGACGGAGCGTCACCCTATTTCCCGCTCCAATTTCGCTCCGCTCATACCACGAGTCTGACTCCACGTCTTTTCCCCGCCTAGCTCGCATGGTGTTCAGCATCCCAAGCGGCGTCTTCAAGGGCAGATAGGGTTTTCTCTGCAACAACCGCATGAGTCTGAAGCCTCAGACATTGTCCAAACTTGTGTTCTTGAAGGTGAATGAAGGAAATTTTCTTTCTTTCTTTCTTTCTTTCTTTCTTTCTTTCTTTCTTTCTTTCTTTCTTTCTTTCTTTCTTTCTTTCTTTCTTTCTTTCTTTATTTTCTAAAAGTTTGACAATGTAACCCATTTAAATTGTAATGCACTCTGCGCAAAAGTTCAGTTATACGAATTTTGGATTAATAGTTCATTTAGCATACTTTTAAAACGTTGATATAGGCCTATAGCCTGTACATTTTTATTTATAATAAAGCCCATTGATTCGTTTAATTTTACAGCATTTTTTGTACTATTGATAAGCATAATTTTATTAGGCTATTTGTGCGCGCTGTGCAAACGTTTAGTTATCAAAATGTTGGCCTAATAGTTAATTTACTTTTTAAATTTACTTTTAAAATGTTTATGTAGGCCTTTATTTTTTACATTTTTGTTTATACACTTATTTTTTTATCTTTATTTATATTATTAGGCCCATTTATTCGTTTAATTGTACAGCAGTTTGTGTGTACAATGGATAGGTTATAAGCCAATTTAAATTTTAATCATGCATGCGCGTTCCGCAAAAAATCAGTTATCAAAATTCTGGCCTAATAGCCTAGTTAATTTACTTTTATGTATATTTTTGTTTATATAATTTTTATTCATATTATTTGGTCACTTTATTCGTTTAATTTTACAGGACTTTCTGTAGGCCTATAGCATAGGCTATTCCACTGAACATGTTGTAAAGTCGGATCTATGTTTTATTCACGTGTCACGTGATTCATTCATTTTGTCCCACCCACTTTTTATAACAAAGTTACGCCACTGAGCACAAGTATTCATGTAAATTGTAAACAGCTACAAATAACCTGTTTGCCTTCTTGAATTGTGCTTTCCGTATTATTTTGTGGAATCATCTGCTCTGTGTTTGTATTTCCATGCTTGAAGTGCTGTTTAAACTTCCTTATTACAATAAGGAAGTGTAATATCATAATTGTCTTAAAGCTCCCATGGTCACATCAATATTAGCTTCTGTTATAAGCGCTTTGCATAACTTGACACAAGCATACCCTACTTCAAATGAAAACTGAGCCTATTCTATTCTATTCTATTCTATATTTGAACTAAATTATTATTATAATTTTTAAATATAATATATCCGTTGCATTCTAAGGCCAGTCTGTTTTTCATATGTCTAACCAGGAGATGGCGCTGTTGACCGCATGGACAATTTAACCGACAGTAAACTCCTTGCTGCTTTCTGCTTTCAAGTACACGTGTCACACATGACATCATCATTTTGGTATGCCAAACTGGCATTCCTTTGAAATAAAAAAAATAATAATAAAAAAATAATACATCCTATTAGACTGTTCGAATTTAGCTTGGTTTTATTCATAGCATTGTTTTGTTTTATAATTTCACAATTATTGATTATAAATTAGGCTACATAGAGCAGGTTGTTGCTCTAAAACCCCGGAAGATCATTTTTGAGGCATGGGTTCCCTCTGGATTTGCATTAAGGCTTGTATGTGGGGGACGTTAATAAAATGTATTTAACCGTTTTTGTTCTACAAGTTACAACATTGCACACAATCAAACCGAGATTCTGAAGCTGTTGTCTTTTACAACAAAACAAAAATGTTGCTAACAATTCGTTAGATAAGGACTACAACTTCCACAGGGATACAAGTTTACGTGCTTTAGGAATCGGACAACAGTTGTAGTCTTTAGCAACTTTCGCTTGTTGATATTAAAAATTTCTTTCTTTTTCCAGTCTACGATATTTACTAAATCATAATATGCTAATTAGAGCCGCTTCTATTGGTCTGTGGCTGAAGATGTCCTTGTAATGGGCGTGGTGTTGACAGCAGAAGCGTGTGTGAAACGGTTGTGTAGGACGCTATATTTCTGTCTGAACTGAGAGGTTGTGTGTGTGTACTGTACTGGACCTGAATTTGCATAGTACCGCTGATATGGAGCCCAGACAACAGGGTGAGCTTACTTTCCTATCACTTTCATGTCTTATGTTCTGTGAAAATACTGGAAATGTGTTTGAATACTTCTCGTTTCACTTTGTGTATCTTTGATTAACTTGAGTAACGTTAGCTCTAAATTAAAGAGGCACGTTTTGTTTGTTTTAAGTGTACTTACCAGAAAAATACAAATAATGGATTAAAACATAACTAGCCCAATAGTACTCGAAATATCAGCTGCGTAAAAGTCATCTATCTAGTCATTTAGGCTTCATTTTAATGAGGTGCATGAGCTTATTGTGAGACACGTGATCAAGTTTTCCAGGGATCTGTTGCCAAAACACGTAAACAAATGAGAGAATTAGATGGAGCTCCTCCCTCTCATGTTCCTTTAGGTGCACTGATCTGGACAACCATGTGACCTTTCCATTTCGTTTCCACGTGATTGTCCTGAGCTAAATAATTGAAATCTTGTGACCAGATATGTTCCAGTGGTAGTACCAGTGAATTGGCTGGCATTTAACTAACTAAACAAAACTGTGTAAGTAGGCTACAGTAGTAGCCTAGTATATAGACATCCTGTTGGCACCTGGTACTTCATTGCTCCACCAATGTAATGCAACAAACTCTAATTGCAGGGTTGGGCAATGAAAAGTCATATACTGTAAATACCATCAATCTATCTCAGTGTAATAAGACTTCTTACATGTTGGTATTCTGTGGTAACTTTTTTGCTCTGAAGCGAGAAAGGCCGGTCTGTGTACCATCACCTGTAACAACAAGACCATTCATATGTGCTCCATGAGCAAACCTATTTAGTATATTACAGTAAACATTCAGAAACTAACAGTAACAAAAGTTGTATATTATAGTAAATAAAATCATGTCAATAACTAGGCTAAAGCTGAGTCATTTACAACGATAAATGTGAATTTGACGTGTAGCTTTGCAGTGTTGTATAGTAGTACGGTACAGTAAAGTTGGTAATTTATGGAATAATGTATTTTACACAAGTTTTTATAATTTGACTTGACAAAATGCAAGTAAATTCTAAGTATAACCTATTAGTTCAGTTTGTGAACTGGAAATGTAGCCAGTTGCTGAATTTGCTAACATAATACTCTTACTATGTCTGAGAAAGAAATGGTAATAGTACAAGTCGTAGTATGCAGGTCTCAATTCAGCAAATGTATTTTTGAAACCAGTATAGTATGGCAAAGTACAAACCTGAAAACAGTGTATTCGTAGTAGTTGTAGTTTCATGATAAGGAAAGTCAATGCATCTGCATTGTTCATTTGTATTCAACCTTTAATATCTGTTTGTTTTGCTAACCGTACACTTCACAGAGCTGTACTCTAGCGTACTGACTTCTGAAGCTATAGACTGGGGTAAGAGCTTGCTGTGAAATGTAATGAAAGTGAATGTGACAGACCCAACCTCTGTAGTCTGTGTGTGCGTGTGTGCGGAAGTGGATCACTCATTTCCACTTCTGAGCTGATGGGTTGTCTACAGCTTTTTCACATAGGCCTAGGTGATTTTAGATGGAAATAGTCTAAGACTTTAGCACATTTAAAACTTGTAGACACTGCTAAACCCTAAAATTGTGATATTAATTGACAGACACAGACCCTTTGTTGTTCTTCAAAAATGCATGTCATGTTGAGGTTCCTTGAATGAGTCAGCATTGGTTTGATATGCATGTCTGTGCGCACAGTTTGTTTTTAAATGATATTGTTGAATGCAGCCTGTTTGCATGTTCTTTGAAATTTGAGTGCCATTTGTAAATCTGTTTGGTTCTGGTGTATCATCAGCTCATGAATCATTTCGTGCATTGTTCTTCTTATTTTCAATTTGCTGAACCACAGAAGACAGAGAAACTTTCCATGCAGGTAGGTCACAGAAACATCTCATGTCATCTGAAGGATGTAGCTTAGCTGAGTTATAAAAAAACAACTCATTATTACACACACTTTGCACACTCACCATCTGGAATTTCCTGCCAGTCACTAAATACTGTACTGTCGTGTCTCTGTGCAGCAGTCAGATGGAATTAAATCCAGTCAGATAATCACTAAGGAGAAATCCAACAGATTACTTGGGCAAGGCCAGAAATGACGCAATTCTTCACTGAAACCATGCTCTTAAATTGTACTGCTTTCAAGCTCCGGATAGATTGTGTTGCATTATTGAAGTGTAGTATTGAAGGATTTGTTCCAGTGGTCACACTTTTAGGACTTGTTGTTTACTTCCAATTAAAAATGGCGTGTTAACCAGAGCCGATCCGCCCTATACGCTCACTACGCAAGCTGCGTAGGGCCCCGCAAATTACTCAAGGCCCCGCCTGCCCCTCCTCGTGTCATAGCGCGTCAATTAATGTTGACAAAATGAAGCGAAACTATCCCTCTGGTCACGATAAGAGAAAGAAGAAAAAACATGAGAGTGAATTGCGGGAACAACATTTAGGTAAACTTGTGTTCTCTTCTCTCCAAGTTTGATGTCAGTCAGCAAAGTAAAGTTAAGTTTATGTGCATTTCTATTGTGTTTTTTCGGTCTTGCTGACCTAGCTGGGCAGACAGGCAGTGCATCTCTTGCATCACTTCTCTTTGTGCCTGACTGACAAAAGTGAGAGTAAAATACAATTATTTATTACGTTTGTTTTTGATAAACAACAAAGTGCAAGTTGCGCAACGGTGTTTGTTTACTGCAGCTCGGAAAAGATAACCGCGTCGCGTGTAGGCTATCATGCGTGTTCATATGCGCGTGCACGAAATGAAACGCGCATTTTTTCAAGCAGAAATATATGTGGACATACTGTACAATATATGGGCGGGAAATGATGGCACTCCTCTCATCAAAGTACACATTATACATACATACTTTTAAAACAAGAAACTGATTATATAGTCTCAGTCAATGTGTAGTTAAACATTCTAAACAACTGCAGCAGCACTAATTATGCAAGATGGAAAGCAATATTGACAATTTGACATTGATTGACTATTGATATATAGGCTATATTGAATTTAAAATGTTGATAAGCTGGACATACTGGTCAATATGGATGCACATCCCTCAGTAAATAATAACCATAAATCAAGAATTGCTTCAACATGCATAATAATAAAAAAAAAAAAACTTTAACATGCCATGGCAAGCCATTTTAGCTTTTATTCATTCACAGTTTATGTATTTTTGATATTAAGAATATCATTTTTTTTTTTTTTTTTACTATTTTCAATGTGAATTCTTGATTATTTTTTACTAGTAAGGCCCCTTAGTTACATTTTTATCTACCAATGTCTATTTTTGGACTTACATGTTCACTTGTACAAAAGTTAATTCTTGATATCAATGAGCTCACGTCACGGCGTCACGGGTCAGGTAGAGGGCCCCTTAGCAGAATTTTGCTTAGGGCCCCAGGGAGGTCAGGATCGGCACTGGTGTTAACTAAAACTATTAAAAGTAATTTCCATTAATTGATATAAGGCTAAAATAAAATAAATATTAGATGAAAAACTTATGAGAATGAGAAATGTTGTGTTAACTATAATAAAATAAGTTTGTAAGTTGAAGTACTAAAGTTCTGTAAAAAAAAAAAGAAATATTTAAAATAAAATGACAAAAGCTCTTAACGAAATTGCTGAATATCTAAACTAAAATTTAATTCAAAACAAAAAAAAATTATTAAGCTCATTTAAAATATTAATAAAATATAATATTCAACTAATAACCTATACAAATATTATTATTATTATACGTTTTACATATTATTTTAATAAAACATTATTTAAAATACTATAATAGTATAAATAATACTAATAGGCCTATATTATTATTTTTTTGTTGTTGTTGATTTGCACTAAGTTCAAAATTTGGATTTCCATTGATAGTTGTTTGTGTTATTGAGATGAATCACGATGAAAATAAGACAAAGTCATTCACACAACTCGCTGAACAATCGTTATTATTGGCTATTATTTATAGTTTTCTTTCCATTAGGCAACTGAATGCATTAACACATAATAGGGGGGTATTGTGACTCGAATATTATGAGTGATTAATTGGTTTAATCAATTGTCAGCAGTGTTATACATAGATTTACCCAAGATTGTTAGTTTTTTCCCCCACTCATCTCTGGTTTGTGTTTGAAAGCCGTTGTCTTTCATTCCTCTAAGTGGGTGATGACAGTATGTTTTTTTCATCTGATGAGGATAAGAATGGCCTCCTCCTCCACACTTTGCAATCTTTCTCTGAGGACAGTGAAGGGATTCTTTGTGAGTGAAGAAGGAAAACGAGGACACTGAGAGGGTTAGACAGAATAGTAGCGCATAGTCCAGTGAGCTTGAAGAAGCTGAACCGTCAAGCGCACTGCCCTAAAGGGACACTTAGTTACTCAGATGACACACTGAACACCATGACATGACTCTGACTCGCTCACCCAGACATAAGAACCTGAGAAAGATGAACTCTGATTGGCCCGTTAATGACAAAAATAGAAGAAAAAGAAAATACACGAAGGCTCGTCAGCAAAGTTCAATATGGCGGAGATTCTCTGTTATTATGATACTATGATACTTGAGTCATGACAAGTCAAACTTATTTCAGAGAATCAGTTCTTTCAAGTAGTCCATTTCAATGAACTGATTTAACCAATTCAGTAAAAAAGAACCAACTCGAAAGAATGATTCCTTCCATGTTTCTACAGATATGATGATCAAGATGACCAACCACTTGAAGTTGTCTTTGGTTATCTAGCTCAGGTTTCCAGCTTCAGGGTCAGTTATTCAAGGTATAAATCAGAATCAGGATTTAGCTGGGGGTTTTCAGCAGGAACCATGTTTTTATTTTAATTGGTGTTAAAATAGAATCGTTTTGTATCTTAGTATTATTTCTTTCCAACGATCTCAGCTTAAATCCGATATCTCCGCATTTCATCTTGGTGGTGTTGAGTAAAGCAATTCAATATCACGCAGTTCTCCATTTTCCAGGTAATAAACCTTCATAAAAGATTACACTCAGTGTCTGTAGACACAATATTAAGGCAATGGAATAAAAAGGGTATTATTTTACATATTTACCATGAAAATGATCCTCTGTACTTCCTCTTATTCGAGACACAGACCCTTAAATAGATTTAGGGAATCTGATTCATGGGATAATTGGGAGGTTGACGCAAGGCATCAGGAAAGTTACTAGGCAACCTGAACAATGAGGCGGTGGAACTGTGAAATAATTGCTTTTCTTCTGAGTTATGCTCAAAGATCCAGCCCTCAGTTTTAATCTCTATATATAAAAAAATCTATTATATCTAAAAGCAAATAAAGCATCTTACAGACTGAAGAGTGTCTCAATTAGTGTTGGCTTGTAGTGTCATGTTAGTGTCTTTGTATTATCTTAATATCAGTGATTTTCCTCTGAAAAAGTCATTTTAAGGACATGTGTCTCTGAATGTGTCATACTGATTATTTTCATATTTTAAATGTCAGCCACATGTGCTATGTTTGAGACTGTTGTACATCATAATATGACATTTAAATATCCTGACAAAAATGTACATGATTATGCATGCCAGGCCAGTAGTTGGCGACCTCACTTTGTAAAGAAACACTACACTCATAAAGACTGAACACATAGTAATCATGCACATGACGTCACCGTTTACACAAAATTGTGTTGCTGTAGTTTACACGGAGATGAAAGCAGTATCATTTTCAAAAACTTGCACTTTGAAACCCAAATTCAAAAGTTTGCATTTTTAAATACTCCCCAAACCATTGTTGTCATTGTAAATGAACGAAAATACATAAAAATGTTTGGTTTTTTTGTTGTGTAAATGGGCACAACATTTTTGTTCACAAATAATCACATTAATATGTGCTGAGAATCTGAGAATTTTGATAAACTCTCTGTGTTTTCTGGCATTGATTGCAAAGTCTTGTTTAGTGTGACACTGCGTTTCTGAGTTACTAGTGTCACTAGTGTGGACCTTGTTTTATGTTTGGACTGTTTTCCTGTGTTTGACCCATCGCCTGTTGGATTATGATTTTGGATTGCCCTAAGAAAGCTGTGTTTGGATCAACCAAAATCTTGGAGAAGTTTGTTACAGTAGACTGTTGGGTTATGGTTAGGTGTTTGAGTTAGTAAGTAGAACAAGTTTACATGACATGTAAAGTTGCTTATTCTACTTACTATACTATATGTCTCTTGGGGGAGCATCAAAATAGTGTTTAATAGCAGATATTAAGCAGACAGTCTATTAATACACTAATGACTGCTAGTTGACATGTAGTTGCAAAGTTACTTGTAGAATGTTTAAAGTGAACTAAAATGTTACTGTAATTGTAATTGTTCATATTATGACATAAATTAGGCTTTAAAAGGCTTTTTTTAAATAACAAATTGTGTGAAATGTACAAGGTTTATTTATATATCCATGCTATTACTCAAACTTAGCCTACTTCAAACTGAAACAATTATAATGATGTAATGGTGTTTTAAGATAAAAAATCAAAATAGGTTATACTGTGTGCTGACAGGACAGATGAAGATCAGTCAAAAGGCATAACATACTTAGTCTGAAGGTAATGTCTTACAGAGCACTGAACCATCCTGCTTTCGTTTTAAACATGTAGATATGATCTGGCATTGTGTGTGGTGTAAATGATGAATCTGGGATCTCATTCCTGAGTACTTTTCTTTGCTAAAACCTTTCTACTCTGCTCTTACCTGCTGATTGCATTAGCCTGTGAAAGTGTATCACGCGTTTCATACCACAGCACTCTAATCAGTTTCCCAAGTAATGACTGACCAGACCTCCGAGATGTGACTCTTGTTTCCTTCTGGGCAAAAACAACCTCAAGGTTTATTCGCATTACAGGAGGTATATCAAATGCATTAGAGCTTCATCATTTGAGCTTTCATTGTCTGGCTGTTGTGAGGTTTAGTTTTTGATTCTCCAACATAATGCTTTTGAAGACCATTGTCTTAAATGAATTGTAAAAGTATTCACAGCCATTCACTCTACAATAAACACACTTAATGTAAAATATTTATTTATGTAAGCTATGGCAGGCATGTCTTGCTATACTGAAATGAAACTGATACACATGATGTTCTGAGTTAAAGGATTTTCGGAATAACTGGGTTGAGCTGCTTTCAGTGATAGTTGTGGTAATAAAACCATATTACTTTCATGTCCTCAAATGCATGAGAGAATACTACAGTTTTGGTCAGTAGTCTCTGTGTCAGCATGTCAGCTTGATTATGAAATCAGCCTTTTGTTGCCTCAAATCATACTTTCATAATGCTTATAAAAATACCATCTATTTGGAAATCAGTTTACCAATTCTTAGGATTCATAATGTGATCTACTGATCTTAAAGAGTTAGTGCACCCAAAAATGTCTGAAGTGAAATGTTCGAAGATGAACGAAAGTCTTACAAAATTAGGGCTGAGTAAATCATTTTTTGGTGAACTAGCTATTTGAAAGAAACACGTAAAGCTCTATTATAACTGTTACCTTCAGGTGAGTGATGATGTGGCATGCTTTTCGTCTTTTTGAGTACAACCTTTCAATAGAACTGCAAAAATACACCTTCATTCAGGGGTGAGGCAGGATAATTACAGAAGGTGATGGTTAAATGTGTTTAAAGGCTTCACTGCTGTTGTCACACTGACTGAAGGGTATAGTTTCTGTGTACTGGCAAATGCTATTTTACTTTTTATTCAGCAAGGATGCATTAAATTGATCAAAATTGACAGTTAAGACTTTAAAAAATTATAAAAAAAAATCTTTTAAATTTATAATTTAACAAAAGATTTCTATTTGAAATAAATGCCATTATTTTGAACTGTATAGTCTTTAAAGAATTCTGGGAAAAAATGTATCCACAAAAATATTAAGCAGCACAACTGTTGTCAACATTGATAGTAATAAGAAATGTTTCTTGAGCAGCATATCTGCATTTTAGAATGATTTCTAAATGATCATAATCACGAGTATAGATGCTGAAAATACATGTGTAAATTATTTTCAGGTTGGCACAAATATATATAAAGGAATACATAACTTATCTGATTCATTATACCCTTATACTTTAATGATGAGTTTGAGACTTTTTGGCTTAAATGTCATCCTTTTAGCAATGGTGGATTGAGTTTACACGAGATATTTCTGTGAAATCAAATCTGTGAAAGAATGTGTTCTCATAGATTTGTACATGTGACGGAGACATGTTAACAATAACATTTGTTCTTCTATTTTTGTATATTTATTTCCAGGTTTATTGGACAAAGAGTCTCTGAAGGAAGTGGATGAGGACATGGTGTCAGAGGTGGACCTCAACAACACTGTCACAGAAGAGGAGCGAGAGGAAATGGAGAATGAACTGACTAAGGTACTTTCCCCAATGTTTTAGTGCTGTAAACTAGGAAAATGAGGTGCAGTGCAGGCACATTAAGAGCTGTTTTATCCTTAGAAACAGTGTTAGTCTGTGAACTGAAAGGCCACAAAGCTCAAGCAGAAATTGTCTCGCATGTTATGCAAATCCTGCAGACCTGTCATTTTCCTTCTTTGCATATTGTGACTCAATGTAAAAAGTGCATAGGAGATTCAGTATGTATACCTGTTCTGACCCTTAAAAATGAATTTATCTGTGAAAAAGTGTAGTTACCTTGGGTTAGATTAGTATTGACATGTGATCCAGTTTACTGAAATAGTCACTGAAATTTACTGTGCAAACAGTCTGCATTATCTCCTCCAGAAAATACACCATTGATTGGAAATCATGTGACCTAAGCTTTTCCGTTTTTTTTTTTCTCTGGGCTATTTGATCCCCCCCCAGATCTTCACGGTCCATTAAGCCACGTAAGGCTGACGTTAACTGTGTCACAGTTTGTGTGTGAGACAGAAAGGACAAAAAGAGTGGATAATTCATATTAAAAGTGCATTGTACATTTTCTAGCTGTTATATGTAAATCTGAAGAGCATCACAAGAGCTTCTCAGCCCCTAACCTTGACCTATTTTCCCCTCTGTCAGTTAGAAGAAGAAATCACTACTTTGAAACAAGTCCTGGCCTCCAAAGAAAAACGTCACTCGGAGTTGAAACAGATACTAGGGATCACACCCTTGAGTGAACTACGACAGAACTTCAGCAAGAGCTGGTACGACATGCAGAGCAGCACTGCGTAAGTACAGTAGTGTAATGCCATCTTTCGTTGTGGCTTATTGTTACTACAGAGGCATGCACCTTTTTTAAGAAGAAAATAGTGGTGGTTATGACACATGACCATAATGATGGAGAAAAACAAACACTTTTTAACCACCAATATAGCTTTTTGTGGAAGTAAAAGGTCTGCAAAGTTTCAAATATCAAAAAGCATGATAAATGGAGTTATTGTCTCCTAAAAGAGAGAACCTATTTTGAACTGTTTGAGTTGTCAGTAGTTAGTGCTGTCAGTTAAGTTACGCTTAATTTGGTAACATTTTATTAGCAAATTGTACGTTTTATAAGCTCAAATGCTCGCCTTGCTCTGTTCTGTAATGCGCGATCGTGACTCTCCTGTTCGAAGTCGTTCATCAAAATGAACGAATATTTTTTCATGTCATTTGGTTCATTCAACGAACGAAATTAACGAATTGCTTATAAAACGTAAACTTTGTTATTTATTTATTAAATGAGTGATCGTTTCGCTTGATAAGACCCTTATTCATCGTCTGGAATTGTTTAAAGCCCTTTGAACAGTTTGCAGTTTGTACTGAAAGTGTCTGTTGGGCCTTGAACCGTTTGGTTCCCATTGAAGTCCATTATATGGAGAAAAATGCTGGAATGTTTTCACCAAAAACCTAAATTTCTTTTCGACTGAAGGAAGAAAGAGATGGACATCTTGGATGACATGGGGGTGCTTAAATTATCAGTAAAAGTTTTTTTTAAAAGCGAACAACTCCTTTAACTACATGTATTTACTGTAGAACGGTTACGGTTTGGTTTACTCGTAGTTATGCATCATTTAGTGTTTTTAATATACAGTAAGTACATGTAGTAACGTGTAGCTTAAAATTAAGTGTTACCCCTATTTTTACTAACATGCTTCCTTCTTGAGAATGAATTGCAGTCTGAAAGAGCATGTTGAAACTGCTGTTTTCCCTCTGTCAGTCTAAATTTAGGTTATTGCAATCATGATGTGATCCATATCTACTTCAATTCACATTCACTTATACAAACAGTGCTTGTCTGAGACACACAGCCTATTTGCACGGCAATTACGTCATTGCGACACCGACAAGGTTTGCTGCACATCCCTCTTTCGCTTTATACGTACACTGAACATAGACATGAACAAATGGCCTATTTTTGTCAGTGAAAGGGAAATAATGTAATCACTTCTCATTATGACTCATGAATTATCATAACAATGTTGTGCATTACTGTTTACAATCACTAGCCTAGGTAATAACAGCTATTCTGTTTTTAAACGGAATAATACTCAGGTTACAAGCATGATGAATAAAAACCATTCATAAGCAAAGATTATGTGAATTTATGCCATCAGAAAATATTGTACATTAATTCATTTAGCAGACTTTTTTGCCCAACGTATTGCCCATTCTTGTTAGATCTGGTGGATTGACTTGAAATGTAATTTTTTGGAAATCAAATCTGTGCCAGAAAGTTTGCTTATTGAACAATTATTATTGAACTTTCGCTATTGACACTTTAATTATTTGACACTTAAACTTTCTTTTTTGTATTGCTGTTTAACATTATAATCAATGGAACTACATTAAAGGGTATGTTTATATGATAATAAGTATGACTTTGTTTATATTTATATTAAGTTACTAGTGTCATGGTAACTAGCATCTCAAATGAAAAGCCCTTCTCATGTCGCAGTTGTCATGGACAGAGAGGGACAAGCTGATCAGATGGCATCTTCTGATCGATCTGGATCATTTCTGTATTATTAGCTCTTACAGTAGATTATTCTTGGGTCAGTTTAGATCTGCTATTAACTTAAGGCATGTAATTCCACAATATGATTCACCTCACATAGATATGCTGAGAAATGTACCTTGTAACATGACTAGTTCACCCAAAAATAAACATTTTTTTTATATAATTTATTCAGCATTATGTCATTCCAAACCTGTATGACTTTCTGTTCATACTGTGCTTTTCCTATGAATAGGGATGATCAAGCTCCAAAAATGACAATTAAACAACATAATGTCACTATAAATACTAATCCGGACTTGTGTACTATAGTCTTCTGAAGTCATAAGATAGCTTTATGTGAGAAAATCAAGTTTTTGTAGGCTTTTAAAGTCTTGTAACTGATCAGACTGTGCCACTTTGGATTCTGTATGTGTAAAATGTTATTAAATGTGGGAGTTTTGTTGAGGAGCTCTTGGGTCAAAAGGATGTGACTTCAGTAAACTGATTTAGATTAACTTGTTGTCTAAAATGTGATGGGACTCAAAAACAGACATTTATGAAAAAGCATAGAATAGGAAGTCACTCACTCTTATCCAGGCTCAACGAGGAGGATTTGTCACACAAAATAAGTTTTTTTTTTTTTTCTGTGTGTGTGTGTCTGTGTGTGTGTCCAATTTAAATCAATTAAAATGGTTATGGTTTTCATTGTGACCCATGTAATCTTAAAGTATAATTTATAACACCAAAATTCAGATGCCAGTGAAATTAGCATTATGAATCTACTGTTCCCTTTTTTGGACTGTCTTCTTGTATTCTCTATATTGAAGCAGCATTTCTTCCTGTTTTGTATGAGATCAAATAGAAAAAGTGAAGTAAAGTTCTTCCTGCTTACAATTCAGAAAAGGCACCTTTTGTGCCTGTTGGATACTTGGTTTAAAGTTTGTTCTCGTTCTCCAGTCTCCTTTGGGAACTGGTCTAATATTTTAATGTCATGTTTAATGCACTGTAACATACACTAAATAATTAACCATAAAGGGTACAACGGGGCTAAAGGCACAGTCTATCCTTGTGGACTGCAGTAGATTTGTCAGTTCTTGCTGTGAGATGTTACTCCACAAAGGCACTTGCAGGTTCTCTAACATGTCTGCTCGGATACATGTGGTTTGGGACTGCAAGGACGATCCCTGTAGCACTGTCAGACATTGCCGTTCCACAGGTGCATATGCAATAGTTGTTTTTGGATCATTGAACAAGCATGAAAAAAATTATATAAATACAGTATATACAATTTTCGTTAAAACTACAGTATCCTGAAAAGGGGACGCTTCTTTTAATTGCTGATATACCGTGTACAGTACATGCGGTCATTTCTACTATGTAGTTTGTTTTAAACTCAGTGACGTTTAATAAATGGATTCTGGAAGGATTTCTATAAAGGAATATATCAGATTTCAGAAATATATATTTTTCTGAAATATTTTGTTTTATTGTATTTATCAGTGACAATATTTGTTATTTTTGTACTGTTCTGGCAGATACAAAAAGACATCTGAGACCCTGGCCACGGCAGGACAGCGGACCTCAACTGCCTTCAGTAACCTGGGCACTACCATCACCAGGAAGTTCGGGGATATGAGGTACAATGTCCCTTCCCCCTCTGCCTCTTAAATTCTGCTGTCCCATCATTTCCTGTTTTTTTTTTTTTCTTTTCCTGTAGGGATCTCACAAACACATAGTTCACACATTATATGTTGCACAGTGAAATGGCAGTGGTCTTGAGGCATTTACCTCAGACAGTCTGTTTGAGAGGCATGTTTGTGTTATGTAAGCCTCATTTAAGCAGCTTTCAGCCGGCCAGATTGGAGGCAGATCCAGCTGGCAGAGAAGAAGAATTTACCAGCTCCTCTTCACTGCCTCCTGGATGGTTGAGACTTTCAGTGACAATAGATGCTTTCAAAAGTGTCATAGTCTACAGTTTGTTTGAGTTATTAAAATTAAAGATGGCCATCTTAAACACTGCAGAAAATCAGTATATTAAAAAGCAATATATATTCTTAAAACAATTTATTGAGAAGCAACATTTTGTACTATAATAGAACTGTTGTTAGAATGTATGTTATACATTTATATTTTTTCTAATAATCTTAATATGTATGATTACCTGTATATTTATCCACATACGTATTTAGATATATAAATTGTGTCAAAAACGCTATGCATTATTATTAGTGCTTATCAAATGAGAGTTTCTTGTTTTAAGGTTGTTTGGGTATTTTTTACTGGAAGACAAGTAAAAAATATAGATACAAAGGATATTCATTATGTTGTATGCTCTTATTAGTGCTTTTAAAACAATTTTATTCATTAATGACAAATCAATGCATGAAGCCCAGTTCTAATTTATTACTCAATCCTGCCTCTGCTTTAGCAAAATAGTGTTGATTTTACTGTAGATCCAATACCTCCTACCTTATTTTACTTCAGCATGTTTGGCCTTCAGGTACTGTATCCCATGAGGTATGTGTGTTTGGTTGCCAGTGTGTGACGCTGTCTCTCTGCATGTGTCTGGGGGGTGGGGGTGTTCCCTCATGTTTGCAGTGAATATTCAAAGAACAATGCGTATCCTTGCATGCTCCTTGCAATAGCAGCAGAGCGCATGATGATACAGTTCATACTGGATGACAAGTAATGCTTTTTGCTCCTCAGGATTTCATCAATATCTTCTACTTCAAAAATGAACTTTTTATTTTGTTTAAATAATGATAAATCTTGTTGTTGTGCAGTCCTGAGTGCTATGTTCAGCCTACTTCATCAGCCCAAAAATGGCAGTATTGGGAACGGTTAATATTCATTAGCAAATTTAATATACAGTGGCCCTAAAAAGTACACTTAAAAATGTATGAATGCCATTGCATTAGATGAACACTTTTAAAGCAAAAAAAAAAAAAAAATTCACAAAGACAAAGTATTTGTGTGAACTGTGTGAAAAGTTAGTTCTGAGAAAAGATCAACCATCATTTGGTTTATATATTCTTTCCTAATGCAATGATATTCATACTTGAGTGTCCAAATATTTTTTTCATGACCTCTGTATTAAAATTCATTTACAAAATCAGTTGCATGGGGTTCAACTGCTGTTGAAGTTTGTACTGTATATACTGTAATTATGATATGATAAATGTCTCTGATTTTATGTCCAGTGAATTGACCTGAAAGTTCTGTCAGTATAGTTGTTCTTAACGTGAGAACTGCATGCATTTTATGGTTTCTACTGTTCTGGCAGAACACAAACTGTGGTTTTGAGTCTCATATGACCAAATGTTGCATGGCCTATAATCTGTCAGCAAAAATAATTTACAATGTTGTTTCCCTATCTCTGATGCGCACCAAAGGTCGCATTCCATTGGGTAAGATATTATGTTCATAGATCCCAGATAGAGATGAGCGATAGCTGCTTTTCTTTTAGCATCTGCATGATGCATGAGAACAGTGATGGTGCTGAAACTAAATCTGACTTACAGACAGGACTCCCATAAATAATCAATATGGGTGTGATGGGGTATTCAAATATCTCAGCAGTTAGTATGAATATTTCAATACAATTTCAATGAGTGTCAGCCTAACATTGATTCTAACATTGTGTGGAGTCATAAACTCTTTGGATTAGATCATATGAGATTGGAAATGGTTCAATGTCTGAGACGATGGCATAGCATTATAGACTGGTCTTATTTTATTTTTAGCAAATCAATGTAGATCCAAAGCCACAATCATTTATTTGTCTCCCAAATTGACTGTATGTTGTTTACTAAATCAGCATCTGTTGCTTTTCTTTGTGACCTATTTATGACAAGTAATGCATACTCTTTGATAAATAGCAGAACCCCTTTCTTCCACCGGCTTCGAGTAGATTTTTTATTTTTTTTTAATCAAGCACGTGGTTTAGTTTCTATGCAAAGAAAACAGAAAGTGCAAAATGATCTGTACAGTTACCCAGTTCACATGCAGCCTACTACCAGTATAGCCTTTATGGGATAGTTATACGTATAGTCCATTGAAACGTTCAAAACCGTTCAAAGGTCTGCGGTCAGTATTTTATTTTTGAAAGAATTTAATATTTTTTTTCACCACCGATGCACTAAATTAATACAAAGTGACAGTAAATACATCTATGTTGTTACTAAATTATATATATTATAAAAATATTAAAGGAGTAGTTCACTTTTAAAAAAACTTTTGCTGATAATTTACTCACCCCCATGTCATCCAAGATATCCACGTCATTCTTTCTTCAGTCGAATAGAAATGAAGGTTTTAGATGAAAACATTCCACTTTTTCTCCATATAATAAACTTCAATGGGAACCAAACGGTTCAAGGTCCAAAAGACAGTTTCAGTGCAAACTGCAAACTGTTCAAAAGGCTTTAAACGATTCCAGACAATGAATAAGGGTCTTATCAAGCGAAATGATTGCTCATTTAATAAATAAATAAAGTTTTAAGTTTTAAAAGCTCAAATGCTCGCCTTGCTCTGTTCTGTGACGCACGTTTGTGACTTTCCTGTTCGAACTCATTCATCAAAATGAACAAATCTTTTTGCGAGTCAATTCATTGGTAGCTTCAATCATTCGTTGAATACCAAATGACTCGGAAAGAGAATAATAAGAAATGTTTCTGGAGCAGCAAATCAGCATAGAATGATTTCTGAAGGATTATGTGAATGAAGACTAGAGTAATGACGCTTTTCCATCACAGGAACGAATTACAAAAATCGAAACGACCCCAAACTTTTGAACGGTGGTGTACAGTAGATGTAGTGAAACTTAATACAACTAGAATTATAACAATTGTTCAATTATTAGCATTTAATGTGTCTTAGTTGCTATGAATTTCTTTGTCCATGATGATGATGAAACCTCTCTTTTGCTTGGCCATGCTTTCATGGGACAGCTATTCTATACGCCATTCAATGAGCATGCCTGCAATGAGGTAAATATGTGTGACAGCTTGCTTTGCATGTTTTGTCTTTCATTGCATTTAATACCACATGTATCATATGCATATATAAAACAGTACACTACAGGTTGAGTGTTTAATACAGTCCGATTTATACCGTCGTGGTTTTGTTGCATTAAAAAACTATAAATAATGGTAATACCTGCATGTACCAACTTTTACATCACACAACAAAAAACCCGGAGAGGATGTTAGGACTCCTTTTGAATGGACCACGTTTAAAGTTAGATTAAAACGAAATTGTCTTCATTCCACAGGAACTCACCTAGCTTCAAGTCCTTTGAGGAGAAAGTCGAAAGCACAGTTTCAAACATTAAGGTAAGCCTGGCATAAAATGACCTTATTAGTGGTCAAACACTAACTTTGTTTGTTCCTTAGTTCAGTGCTGTTAATAATTGATCAGCTTATCATTGGGAGTTTTCAACTTGTCAACATACTATGTGCCATGTTGTGAGAGTTTTGTGTTGTGAGCAGTCAAAGGTTGGAGGAACAGGAGGTGCAGGAAGTTTTGAAGAGGTCCTGTCATCGGCGGCCCATGCCAGCGCCCAGGACACCCCTACTAACAACGTAACTGAGAGCAGTGAGCGCTCATGCTGAAGATGTTAAAGGTCTACAGGTGGAACTATGATGCCTCCTAGTGGTCTGGAGACCACAGTGAAAATTGCTCTGGGGGCCCAAGACAGTAATACACGCCTTCAGAGGTATGCTGGTGGATTTTCCGTGCAAAATACGTATTATTTTTGTACGGAAGGAAAACAACCAAGTGGAGCATGTTTATTCTTTAACATTTCTTAAAAATATGTATATTTTTCAAGGAGACTGCGTTACTTTATCATTATACCATGGTCTGGGTGAATACTCGATTCTGATTGGCTGCAGGGTGTCCGTTAAAAAGTGATAGAGGACACCTAGTAAAGTAGTTCTGGTGAAACTGCCTGTTTACCATTCGAAATTAATAAATAAATGCGCTGCCTACAACGGCTGTGAGTAACCATAGCAACAGGCAGTCACATGCTCTATCATCTAACGTTAGATATTATAGCCTAATACAACAATGAGCGACTTCGTGCTATTTCTTTTAACATTTATGGAGAATATGGCAACTTTGACGACTGGTATGCTGCTGAAGAAAGAAAAAATGTAAATAAAACGGAGGAAATTACACCGCTGCTGCGCTGCTCCATTGAACTCTATTGGTAACGACGTAACTTGCGACCATAGTTGGATAATGATGCTTTCGGGAAACGCACCCCTGAATGAGACCCTGCGGGAGTTTTACGCAGCTGTCCAGACAACCAAGGCAGGAGAAGGCTGAACGTTACAGCGTTTCAAGCCTAAGGAGCCTGAGGCAAATGACCCTCTCTTTGATCTGATTAATTTATTGCCCTCTATAACGTTAAGCGCAAATCGCTGGAGCTCAGAGCTAATTGTTTTTTTATTGTTGTTTGATTAATTGTTTTATGTGTAATAAAAAAACTATGCCTACCTTTGTGTTTCATGAAAAAAAAATGCATTTGTGAACCTGAAGGGATACGAGCTAAGCGGACTATAAATATCTCCGGTTGCTAGATAAACAGTCAGTCAAGTTATTATTTGTAAAAACTAGATTTAGCCTAATTAAAATATAAACTAATGTTTTATTTGGCAAGTGACCATGGTATAAGCGGGTTAATGCCCTCCGAGGTGTCCATTGTCAGGTTTTAATGGACTTCGGCGGAGGCAACCGTCCTCCGCTGCGCGTCGGCCGGTTTACGCCTCGCCGTCGTCCATTAAAACCTGACAATGGACACCTCGTCGGGCATTAACCCTTACTTATTTAAACTCAACATTGTGTTAACAGCAACAAAGCATGATATATTTCCAGGACCAAAAATAACAACTGAATATCCAATCCTAAGAGAAGTACTTGAAAGAATGTTTAACTAAATGGATTTTAACTTGCTTTTTCCTGTCATGAATCTGTTAATGCTCCTTTTCCTGCACAGCTAGAGCACATGTTTGCTGTTAACAGATGCAAACAGCAAATTAAGAATGTGTGTTTTACTGCAGTCTATTAATTTATCTAAAATGCCTGGTGTGAACTATGAAATGGCAACAATATTTGTCACTGACCAAAAATGTATAGCATTATGATGTGTGTTTTTTTTTCTTTTATTCATACATTTGTGTAAAATGTGCTGCAGCTTTACATATTTAACATTGACATTTAAGTCAATTGTTGTTTTAAGGAAGAGGATTTCATAACCAAAATCTTTCTTCAAAGTGTTGTGTTGAGCTGCGTTCATTGATAACGTTAATCATTAAACGTTTTTTGGCAAAGTCACCAAGTCACGGCTCATCAGTCATGAAATAAATATGAACTGAAATCATAAACCATAACATGAGGATTAATTTTACTGTTCCCTCATCATTAAGACACTAAAGTGTGGCAAAGTCTCTGCAAAGACCTTCGATTCACTTTTTTTTTTGCCTTTACTTTCCACTGTAGAACTGATAATGTATTTACAAATGTAATGAAATTACAAACATATTTTGAAAGTTGTTCAAATTATTGCAAGATGGATTGTTTACATTTCCCTTTCCATTGCGTTTAACATAGTAAAATCAGGTTCAGTGGTCATAAAATATGCTTTTTAATAAAGAATGTAATACAGGAAGGCATTAAAATACTGATCAAAAGAAAAGAACTTCTGTGAGGTTAAAAAACACAGTTTCACATATTTCCATTTGATTTTAATAAAAAGGTTGATTTCTATTAATAAAATTACAACCGTGGAAACAAACTATGTCCTTTAAACAAACAGGAACATCATACAACCACAAACCATGCTTCTGTACAATTAAAAAGATAATAAAACAGAATATCTCGACTAAATAAACACTCTTGTGCACAGATGTGTGGAGGTAGCTTCATTGCCTGACAGGAATGGAGATCATGGTGTTGCTCGGGTGTGAGAGCTTGTGTCAGTGGTCTTCGCAGTAGCATTATCTCCTTTGGCAGCGATGTGGCGAGCTCTTTCCTCATTCAGACTCTTCACCAGACTCAATACCTCTGGGTGATGAAACCTGCCTGTTTTGAGAAGGGAAAATACAGCAGTTAAAATAGTTAGTGTATGTCCTAAAGACAAAGGTCTCTATCTGTCTAGATCAGGGGTGCTAAACTCGCACATCCTGATTTTGCAGAGTTCGACGCGTTGATCCTGAAGCAACATTCCGTTCCGAAATTTTAGTTTTAACCATATCCCTGCCCCTAAACCTAACCCTACACTAAAGTTATCCCTAAAAGGTATAGGTGAATCACACTGATGTAGAAGCACTTAATCCTGGTTGTAAGCCTAAACTTGACATGAACTGTAAACTTGTCCCTCAAATCTGATTGGTTGGATGGAATGTTGTTCTAGGATCAACAAGGATGTTGATCCAGGAACATGTTGCACTTGGTGAAATCATGTTCTGTGCTACACAGTCCTGCAGAGTTTAGTTCCAAACCTGCTCAAACACACACACACACACACCTGTAGTTTTCAAATAACCCTGAAGGACTTGAGTAGCTGGATCACGTGTGTTTATTTAAGGTTGAAGCTAAACTCTGCAGGAATGTGGCCCTACAGAATTGAGTTTGACATTCAATATAAAGTAGGGGTGAATTAGATCACAAAACTCATGGTTCGGATCATACCGTGTTTTTTTGAGTAATTGCTAGGTTCATAGCCTTAAGTACTTCAATACCACAGCAAAAGCTACTAGCTTACTAAGCTAACTAATAAAATTCAACTAAACAGTACTTTCCAGGTAGTTCCAACAGTAGTATTCAGGTACAGAAATTGAATCATCAAATGTAAAATAGCACAGCAGAGTGTTCACTGCATCAATGAAATATGATTAATATTTGTTAAAGCCAATTTTGTCTTTTGTTGCTTTGTCATCTTAAAACAAATATAAAATGTAAATGATAAACTTTTACTTTATGATGGTCAAACTTTGCAAAAGCGTGCCGAACGGTGGGGCCGGGTCTGTACGGATCAACTACAATCCGTTACACCCCTAATTTAAAGCTATTGCAATTAAATCAATAATTGCAAGTATGAAAGCTATAAGTTATTGCAAAATGGCCTATTCAAAAATGTGCAAATATTTGTAGAGTGTGGTGAGAGAATCGATTTGTTCATTTGGAGTTCTTCATAGGAGTGAGTGAACGGTCACTGTTGATGAGCACATCTAATACAATTTACTTTGCTTGATCTTCTTAGAATTACTTATCTAATTAGATCCTAAGCTTGTAGAAATTAGAAAACAAGATCAAACCTTCAGTGGAGGTGAAGAACTCCTGGAGTCTTCCAGGTTTCCCCTCCAACTCTTCATATTCATGAGCTTGTATTATCATCTCCAGCTGGTCAAACTCTTTCACCAGTTTGGCTTCTGGACTGGACTGAGCCTCATACTCCTATGAGGGATGCAGTCCAGGTTATAATGTCATTCTGAACCAAAAGAAAAAGAGGAACTTGGTCCTGTAATTTCAGTTTGATCATTAACTGACCTCCCATAAGTTGTAAATCTCTTCCCGCAAGCCATCATCTAACAGGCCTGTGATGTGCACCATTGCCTCCTAAAGAGAAACATTCTTAATGTTTAATGTGTACACAAACATATTATTTTAAATGTGAAATTAAACTTAAAACCATCTTACATTTTCCCTTCTGTGCTTCTCTGTTTTGCTAACATTGTCTGCAGGAGCAATATCTCCCACAATACACTCAGCCAAGTCATGAACTAAAGCCAGCTTCATGCATCTGTGAAGAGAGGAGCTCATCAATTATGTGAATGCATCTAAATGAACTGCTCGCTATTATTTACTTTGCACATTTTAGAATTATTTTCTTTTTTAATTACATGTTTTTATTACACTTCTAGAATTGTAAATATATTTATACATTTGGTACAGTTTATGTTGCTTGATATTAGCTTTCTAGAACATTTATGCATTAGGCCTCAACAGTTTTTTTTTTTTTTAATTAAAACTTTGACTGGTATGAAAAATATGTATATGAATTAATAAATAGATCGAACCAGTGTGATTGAAAAAAAGAACTGTACACGTGTGAATGAATCTGAATCATACACGTGTAAATTAATCTAAATGATTCGCACCATGATTTACACAAGTGTGAATGAATCCTAATGAATCGAACACGCGTAAATCAATCTAGATGAATTAATCTAAATGAACAGCACTAATGTGAAGGAATCTCAATAAATTACACAAATGAGAATGGATCTAATGAACTTCACACATGATCAATCAGTCTAAGTGAACCAAACAATTGTGAAAGAATAGGGGTTGTGAATTCAATCTCAATGAACTTCAGGAGTATGAATCAGGTATGAACGCTTAAATGAATTGACTCTTCTGTAAACCCCGCCTTTTAAGTCTACTAACCAATCATACTCTAGCAACTGTTGCCACACAAACTTGTTTCTCTCACAAGAGGACCCGTGTTTGTTTGGATAGATTTAGGGAAATTATCGAAAAACATGTTACAGTGTCGTTGCTAAGTTACTTATAATCGTACCACAAGAACCCGAGGAGGATATAACTAGTATTTTGTCTCAACATCTTTTTTGTCTCAATATCTTTTTCTCAACCTTATGTGAAAGCGCTGTGGAATAACTGTCAAAACTCATTGAAAAAATAAACAGAAGAAACGAAGAAACATCAACGTAAGTTCAAAGGTAAATATAGTCGACAACAAGTTATGTAAATAATCCTCAATTTTATGACCCCCTCATACAAACCTTTCTTTATTGACACTAGTGTCCTGTATTGTTAATGCCATCATTGACATTCTGTACATATGATCAGAGACACTCTCAGGCTGTTTGATATTTCTGTACACCCATCCTGTTCGTGGTACGCGCTGTAACACAAGAAATCGTTAAAATAGCATAACGTTACATGTTAACCTGCAAAACATTGTACTAATACGAATTTCACTCACTTTCAGCTGTCCGACTAATTTCATGAATTGTAACATGTTGTCCATTCCATTGACGACCGTTACACCAACCAATGGAATTTCGAGTGCCGACGTCAACGACCCGGATGTAAAACCACGAGAGGAATAACCGGTAATAACATGCAGCCGCCACTAGATGGTGACAGAATATAAGCAAGTCAATGGAGTCAAGTGAAGCAAAATCTGTAAGTACTTCAAAAATAGTCAATTCTATGCATACGATAGATAGGTTACAATTTATGAATAAGATAAGCGTTCCTTGCAAAAAAAATAGTGCCACATTCAGTGCATATTGTTTTTTTTAATACGTATTGATTTGTTATTAATTCTTTTTTATTATTAAAAAAATAAAATAGTTATTTTAATATTTTCACGAATTAAATACTTTTTTTTACCAATAAAAAGTATCAAAGCATGTCATGATACAACATTTGGTTTACTCTGACATATACCATGGGATTTACAGATAATTACTTTTTAAATAACATGAATATATGGCAATCATTCACCATGGTTGGTAGGCCTATGCCAAAAATGCTTCTACTATTACCATTTTGGGAACACTTTACAATAGGGTTCATTAGTTAACATTAGTTTATGTATTAACTAACATAAACTAACATTGAGCAAAACAGTTGTTAATGTATTTGTTAATCTTTGTTAATGTTAGTGAATTAAAATAAAACTGTTCATTGTTTGTTCATGTTAGCCCACAGTGCATTAACTAATGTTTACAAAGTATTAGTACATGTTGAAATTAAAACTAACAAAGATAAATAAATGCAGTATAAAGTATGTGTAGTTCATTATTAGTTCATGTTAACTTATGTAGTAACTTATGAACCTTCAAGTTTCTGTGGGAAAACATCAATGTAAACTTGGAAAAACAATCCATTAAAAATTTGCTAAATCACGTGCTTGTCACGTGCGTGTTTTTAATCATAACCATCTTTTTAATGTTTGTAAATGTTATAAAAATCATTCTTCCCTCAGTTGTTTTGGCCTTGACGTATGCATTGTCTACAATGTTTCCTTTAAAGTAAGAGAGTGGGATTGACAAACGCACATTCCTCAAACTGAGACTACAAAACTGATTCAAGGTTGATTTAAGAAATGCTTCTCTGGAATAGCTTTCTATTGCAGTATATTGATTTAAGATTTAACCACAATCCTTTTCAATTTCATAAAGCAGTGATAAGATGCAAATGACGTCAGACGGTGTGAGACGGCTGACTCATTATTTGCAGGTTACGTGTCTCTCCTCATGCATGCAAATCTCTTTTTTTCGTGGGGGGGGCGTGTGCTTGTAGTGACAGATATAGCTTCTATTCTGTGATGGTCATCTTCCCTTATACCTATGTCACCGCTTTTTCTCATGACACCGTTTCCTGGAGGTACGCTCTATTTGTAGAGGGTTTGTAGACAATACATCCTGCTCGTTGGTGTTCTGGTTATCACTTCTTGAACATCCACCAGGAAGGATGTGCTGTGGATATTTTGCACATTGTGGGAAATCATCAGTGATTCAGTGGAGGTGAAGAACTCGGAGTGTGCAGGTTTCCCTGCTAATACGATTTGCAATGATTTGATTAGCTCATGCAGAAAATAGGGTTTTATAGTGAAAGTGTGTCTCCTTAACATGAATGTAAATGAAAGATTATAGTTTCAGTGTTGGTAAATACTTATTTTTTCGCATTAAGTGATGTGAAAATTAAGAAATAAGTCGGAGAAAACAGTAGTTCATTGATAAGATAAATTCAGATGACTCATCCAATAAATTCAAATAAAATCTCACTTTCGTTCATCAGTTTAGGGTTGGTAAATTAAATTTTAATTTTTTTTTTTTTTTTTTTATGTTTTATGCTCACCAAGGCTGCATTTATTCGATCAAAAAGTAATTAAATTTGCATTTATTAGATTTTTTTTTCTGTGAATAATTACTCCAGTCCTCAGTGTCACATGACCTTTCAGAAATGATTCTAGTATGCAGATTTGCTTCTAATATATCTATTATTATCAATGTTGAAAACAGTTGTGCTGCTTACTATTTTTGTGGAAACCGTGATTTTTTTCCGGATACTTTAAAAAAGTTTAAAATAACAGTTTTTATTTGAAATATATATTTCACTTTCCACTTTTTTTCAGATTAATTTAATTGGTCCTTAATACATAATATTATTAATTTAAAAAATAAACATTTTAAACAGTACAGTGTAAATTTCAGCATAAATATATACTGTAAAAAAATATTGTTGGTTTAACTTAAAAAATAAAGCAACCTGGTTGCCTTAACTTTAAGTTCATTGAAAATGAAAAATTGAGTTAATGCAATGAAGGAGATTGATTTAATAATCAGAAACTCAAAATATTATGTTATCTGAACCACATAAATTATCAACAAATCATGATTTTTTTTTTTTTTACAGTGTAAAATCTAATCTTAAATATAACAATATTTTTCTGTGATTCTTTCTGGATGTTTGATATGATTTGCATAATTGCAAGTCTTTTAGTGTTGTTGTTGTTATTATTAGATTTACTTTACATAATTTAAACACTGAAACTGTGGTTTAGATCAGTTTGAAAATGAAATCAAGATAGGACATGTTTTCACATGAGGCTTCACGGATGTCACTTGAACCGCTGAGTGTTGTTTTCAACTTCATCGTAGAGATCTTCATTTCAGCCTGCGAATGATTCTGATTCTTGACCTCTGGGTCAGTAGGGAACACTTCTTTTCACACGTAGATGTGACGGGTGTCAGAAAAAGAACAACATCGGCGCAGTTTCCGTTGTCAAAACAATGACAGCCGCACTCCTCTCTTTATTTACAGGAAACACAATGTTCCTTCCTCTCTTCTTCTGCCAGCAGAAAATAGACCCACAGCTGACTGCAGAAAGACACTGCTGACCGCTCATCTCCCTAATTGTCTCTTCCTCTATATTTAACCATTCGGTTGTATTACATTTCAAGCGTTCCGCCGACCTTTGGTCTCAGTTGACCAGAGAAGGTCTAATATTAGAAACCGAAGCTAAAAATGCTCTGGGAACTCTTTTGGGGGATTTTGCAGCTCTCTGGAAGTTGTGTGAACCGCCTCGCATGTGGAGAGTGGGTTTCTCGTGAGAATGCGCCGCTGTCCCGTCAGTGGCGCAGGGGGATGTTTACAGAGGGCACGTGGGGTCTTCAGAGCATCACTCACAGGAGTGTGTTGGGGACGACGGCAGGTCTGCTCTCGGCACCCCGCTGATACTTTAACAGGCCGCCCTGCTCAGTGCTGTGCTGTCTGTGTTTGTGATTAGATTCATGGCCCGCTCTGTTTACAGAGCAAAGAACGTACGGCCCTGACCACATACTGCTTTATAGTCAAGTGAAAGTGACTTGCCCAATTTTTAAGGTCCAGAAATCGAACTCCTCTACATGCACAATCTTTATATATAAATCCCAATTTGGTCTTATTTTTATAACGTGCGTGTCATGTAAATAAGTCAAATTTACTTCATTTTTCTTTTGCAAGTTTTTGCACACAGGTTTTTAAAGTGGAATTAAGTACAAGGTACTTAAATAAGTTTAGTACTATTAACAAAGAAATAAGTAACTTTAACTTGTTAAAGTTTGTTGAATAATTTAAACTTTACTTTACTAAGTACATTTTATTGAAACATTAAAATACTGAATCTTGCAATGCTTTTAAATTACATTACTTTGAACATCTAAATAAATAATACAGTAGTTATGTGTAGATAATATGTCATATTTTTTCACCGCAGAATACTTTTTACAATAACCAATATTCTGTTTTTAAAAATCCAAATTTCTAGAAATCCAAAGACGTGTTGGCATATTCATGTATTTTAATCGGTATAAGATTTTATAATTTCATATATTTCTGGGCAGTTTCCATTGAAAGTAATCATTTGTGCAGCCATTTCTTTTTTAAAAGAATGTGTATACACAAACAAAAGACCTTTAGTAATTCTATAACTCATAGCACACTGTGGTATTTATTGTGCTTCTATGTTGTAATGACTTCATTAAATCTCAAGTAATTATGGTCAGGAGGGAATAAAAATGAGCATGTCTTAAATTTGCTTAAAATAAACTGATTGCCACATGCACTACTGCTCAAAATGTGGGGGTCAGTATGAGAAATACTTTTTAAATTAATACTTTTATATAGCAAGGATGCATTTAATTGCTCAGAAGTCACAGTGAAGACCTTAACCATAACATTATTACAAAAATTGTACTTTAAAATGAATGTTGTTTGTAATTTGTTCATCAAAGAATCCTGAAAAAAAAAGTGCAGTAAGGTTGTTTTTAAAATTGATAATAATAAAGAAATGTTTAATCTAATCCACATATCAGAATGATTTCTGAAAGATTCGACTTTGCCACCACAGGAAAAAATTAGAAAACAGTTATTATAAATTTCAATCATATTTCATAACATTACTGTTTTCACTGTATTTTTTGATCAAATATGCAGCCTTTGTGAGCATGAGAGCCTTCTGTCAAAACATGAAAAAATCTTTGATCAGTAGTGTATACAGATATATTCCAATAGCTGTGACGCATTTAAAACACAAATGGATGACATTTGGATCAGAAACTTTAAAGAAGCAATTCCTTGGGTTAATTTGAACGTTATAATTCGGCAGACTTTATCTACAAATCTACTTACAGTGATTCAAGGTATACATTTACATAAATAAAACATAAACCTTCTTTTCCGTAGATTGCCATGGCGATGGGTAATGGATCTGAAATCCCCCCGGCTGCCTATGCTGGGTGTCAGGGGGGCCTTTCCACCACAGTCACACATTGTGTGAGCGGACAGTGCTGGGGCGATGGTGGCTAACAAACAGCACTGGCAGTGATGGCTTGTGGGTGCTTTGTGCGGCAGGGCAGGCAGACAGAGAAGGGCCTTGTCCCGGAGGGCCGTGTGAATGAGGAGAGGTTAGAGCGGGGGCAGGTGTAACACGAGCCCCGGCAACGCCACTGTTCAAAAGAACACTACCTTGAAGTGAGCAACCTCAGCCCGGCCATAAACTGAGTTCAGCGGTGGGAAAGGGGGGGGGAGGCCACGCTGTTCCCTCTCAGGGATCACATTGGGGGTTCGCAGGCCTTTCTTCCTCAGAGGGAAGAGTCTGAAGAAAGGGACATTGTCATTCATGGCTCCTGAGC